GGAAAATATGAAAATAGTATTTTTGTGCATTTTTCACTTGTTTTTTTTTGTTAACTTTTTTCACTTCAGCAATAATCTACCAAGTGTCTTCTTTTAAAAGAAACCAAACTTAAGTCTGCGCTCCAAATCATTCAAGATTTACCAAAGTTTAAGTTGGAAATTTAATTTTCAGGTCCATGCTCAAAAAGTGATTAACAGGTAATAAATGGATCATAGCTATTACATAAATATAATTTAATTCCATAAAATCACCTAAAATACAAAATGTTAAGTAAAAAAATATTATCAAACTGAATAGTATTTTAACTTAATTTAAATAAAAAATAAATCTGTCATTTTTGAGCGCCACGCAAGCAGCACAAGAGTGTTTAAAACATGTTGAGCAGTCGTGATGAGTGATGAGTTACTACATTAACTAGCTGTTCAGCTGGGTTCAGTTCACACTCAGTTCACACACACACACACACACAGTTCATGTTTGAACACGTGACAGCTCTTTTTTATGTTCCGTTATGTGATGAAAATTCCAAATTTATAACTTGCTCTTTTTTCCCCCCCGGTCTATAGGTCATGTTGAAAATTTAAAATAAATGAGATAATATATATATATATAAAGAAGAGGTCTGACACTGTACTGAGCTTCAGTGTGAATGCAGCCAGTGTTGATCATAAGAAACTTCAGCTACATAATGACATGTTTTAAGGATTCAAAACTCTCTCTATGTATCTATACACTGTTAGCAGAAGTGTGACTGTTGTTGTCAGAGCTGCTGGAAGAGGGTTGATATAGTGAAGTATTTAACACACTGTGTGATGTGTGTGTGTGTGTGTTTCAGTGCTGGTGGGTTCAGTTCACACTGATACAGTGTAGATGTGTTTAACACATAAATGACTGAATAACTCTGAACCGCGTTAATGTTCTTACAAACAAGATCATAATTCGAGGCTTTGCTTCAGCTGTTTCTATATGAAATGCATCTTGTCATTCAATCGGAAGATGTTTGTTCTTCAAGCCCGGTGTAAAAGGTGATTTCAGACGGCCTTAAGACTCTCTCTGTGTGAAACAGAGATATAGAAATAGAGTTTCTTCTGTTCATGTTTGAACACGTGACAGCTCTTTTTTATGTTCCGTTTTTTATGTGCTGAAAATTCCAAATTTATAACTTGCTCTTTTTTTTCCAGTCTATAGGTCATGTTGAAAATTTAAAATAAATGAGATAATATATATATATATAAAGAAGAGGTCCGACACTGTACTGAACTTCAGTGTGAATGCAGCCAGTGTTGATCATAAGAAACTTCAGCTACATAATGACATATTTTAAGGATTCAAAACTCTATGTATCTATACACTGTTAGCAGAAGTGTGACTGTTGTTGTCAGAGCTGCTGGAAGAGGGTTGATATAGTGAAGTATTTAACACACTGTGTGATGTGTGTGTGTGTGTGTTTCAGTGCTGGTGTGTGTGACGCTTGCAGGGGTCCCATGTTCGGCGCGGGTCTCAAGCTCATTCGTCCCGCTCACGGCGTGTTTGGGCTTCCGTCCGTCCCGGTCATGTTCTGCTGCTGTTCTCCTGCGTGTCTCCACAGATTCAGGAATCAAACCAACAACAACCAGACACGGTCTGATCAGACAAGAGCCACTTTATTCTGCAGAACTGCAGCGTTTACACTTCTTTAAAACACCTTCAGAGGAAAATGGACAAATCATGTAAAATACTTCTTCATTCTGACTGTTTTGAACTTCCTCTCAAGCCCAAACACTGTCCTGCTCACATGAAATGTGTTATACTGCTGTATATGATTCATAAACGTTTCCTATTATATTTTTCATTCTTTTGATAGCACTGAATAAATTGACTTTTATTGGACTTTGTACAATACAATAAACTTCCACAACTTTACAGAAAAATAAAAGGAAAAGAAAATCTGTTTCTGAAATTATTTTAAAAATATTTGATCGGTCATTGTAGTCCGATTCAAAATGTTTCTTGTAAAAAGTAAAATACAGTAAAATCTAGTTCAAAGAATCAAGGCATGTCTTCACACGGTTTTTCACTAAAATGAACACAAGAATCATATTTAATCATTTTCATTTAACAGTCAAAATGACACGTGGAGACGTTCAGCAAACATTTATGAGTGAATGAACATCTCTAAATAAAAGTCGTGAATAAATGAATCGAACCCATTCAGTAACTTCTGGAGTTTAAATGAGAAACCGTTAGAGCATCCGTCAGAACACTAGAAACTACACAAAGAAAGTCCTCAAACTCTATCTGCAGAGCACATTTAACACAAGTGAAGCTAAAACTCTTCTGCTGATGAAGACTCCATTTATTTGATCAAAAACACAGGAAAAGCTGTAAAATATAACACAAAATAATGTTCTATTGTAATTTCTTCTTTGATGCAAAGCTGAATTTTAAGCTTGACAAACTTTTGTGGAAAGAAATGAATACTTCTATTAATCAAGTTTGCATTAAATTGATGAAAAGTGCCAGTAAAGACATTTATAATGTTACAAAAGATTTCTATTTCAAATAAATGCTGTTCTTCTGAACTTTCTGTTCATCTGTGAATCCTGAAACATAAAATGTATCACAGTTTCCACACAAATATTAATGTGTTCAACATTGATAATAATCAGAAATGTTTCTCGAGCAGCAAATCAGCATATTAGAATGATTTCTGAAGATCATGTGACACTGACAATAAATTACATTTTAACAGATATTCACATAGAATGAAAGAAAGAAACAGAAGTAAAAAGAAGGAAAACCGCAGGATCAGTTCACTGCAGTGTTTTTCCCAGACTCATCATGAGCGGGTGGCTGCGTCTCCTCCCTCACTTCCTCTGATCTGCGGTTCACTTCCTGCTGTGTTTGCTGTGCCGTCTGCTCCTCCTGCTCCTGCGTGGTGAGGAGGTTCCTCATGGAGTCGCTCACCTCGTCCCGCAGCTCGTCCTCGGACTCCTCAAAGTTCCTGAAGAAGAAGGGAAGCAGGGTCAGTCTCAGTGATTCTCAGACGTCTCGTCTCTGTCTCAGTGCGTCTCACTCACGTGTCTTCATCATCTGATCGAGGCTCCAGACGCTCTTCATCCACCTCCACATCATCTTCATCTTCATCACACTCCTCTTCCTCTGTGAGACGCGAAACACAAACGGCACATCGTTCCAACACATCTCAGCTCATTCCCATCTGATACTTATCACACACTGAACACACTGATCAGTGTTAAATCAATCGAGCTGATCAAAGCCGTGACTCATCTGAACGTTTGTGTGTGTGTGAGTGAGAGTGTGTGTGTGTGCGAGAGTGTGTGTGTGTGCGAGAGTGTGTGTGTGTTGAACTTCCTCTCAAGCCCAAACACTGTCCTGCTCACATGAAATGTGTTATACTGCTGTATATGATTCATAAACGTTTCCTATTATATTTTTCATTCTTTTGATAGTCCAATAAAAGTCAATTTATTCAGTGCTTTGTACAATACAATAAACTTCCACAACTTTACAGAAAAATAAAAGGAAAAGAATCCATGATGTCTGCTTGAGCGAGAGCGTTCAGCAGTGTCTCCGGCAGACGATTCGTCCAGTGCTTCCTGTTTCCTCCCTCCTGCTCCTCTGAAACTACAGTTAAACAACAAAAGTTTATGATTCTTACATGTTTTGTTCATCAAGATAATCACAAATGAACACTAATTTTGGAACCTAAATACAGTCAGAAGTAAAAAGCTAAAATTTTGTAATAAAAAAAAAAATTTTCTGAAAAAAGAAACATAAATCATGACGAAAGCCAAAATATTAAATGACACTGATGAATATTTACTGAATAAATGCACAATTTTGTGGTGGTGGTGTGGGGGGGGTCAAATGTATAATTTTCACCTGAGATTCAGAGCCACATCACAGGAGGGTGAGAGTGACTTCAGAAAGGTGGCAGCATCAGTATATTATCTTCACACAGAGATCAGCTCTATTAGTGAAATCTGGTGACTTCAGCAATCTTTGTTGCATTACATGCCAATGGTGACCATTCAAACACGGGGAAATGCACTTTTTGTGTGTTTTTCCCCTAAGTTTGCATGCCTGCAACTCAAGACGTTTAATGATATGTCAATATCTTATTATTGGAGATATAGAGCGAAGACTGATATTTATATCATTTTATGTCAGTATCTGCTGAACTGTTATAAAGATCTCATTGATTTACATCACAATTATCAGAATTTCATCATAAATATCAGCATCTGCAGCAAATTCATATTTTTGCTCAGTTTGAGTCTGAATAATATTCAGCTGTTTTTTCCTCCATATTCTCACTGTATCAGAACCATAAAAGCCTGATGGATCAAATATGATACTCAACAAAAAAACACATAAGCAAAGTGTTTATTATACGTTTTGTTCCATTTCATAAGATCAGGTTTGTGTGTGTGTGTGTCACCGGTCTGAGCGAGACTGATGCTGCTCTCTGTCATCACATCCATGTTCTCCAGCGCGTTCAGAAACGTCTCAGCTGCGTCTCGATGCCACTCGGCTCTCTTCACCACTTCCTCCTCCACTTCCTGTCTGACCTCTGACCCCTGCGGTCGGTTGCGTAGCTTTTCTCCTTGTGCAAACGTCAGTGTGTTGTTCAGGGGCTCATCCTGCACACACACACACACAGAGTCACGCACGCACGCGCACGCACACACACACACACGCACGCACGCACACGCACACACACACACACGCACGCACGCGCACACACACACACACGCACGCACGCGCACACACACACACACGCACGCACGCGCACACACACACACACGCACGCACGCGCACACACACACACACGCACGCACGCGCACACACACACACACGCACGCACGCGCACACACACACACACGCACGCACGCGCACACACACACACACGCACGCACGCGCACACACACACACACGCACGCACGCGCACACACACACACACGCACGCACGCGCACACACACACACACGCACGCACGCGCACACACACACACACGCACGCACGCACGCACGCACACACACACAGAGTCAGACACACACACACACACTCAGATGACGCTCTCGTCTGATAGTGTGTATCATGAGTGTGTGTGAGCGTCACTTCACCTCTGACTCCTCGTCTTCCTCAGTCTTCGTCTCTTCATCGCTCAGCTTGATCTCAAACATGATTCCTCTCTGCAAACACAAGATGAGGAGCGTTGAGCTGCGTGTCAGTCCAATGTGAGCTAACAGGGAACTTTCTCACAACGTCCACTAACATATTTAAAGCTATATAAATGTTAGGACAAAACATTCTTAAAGTAACCTTTATGGAACGTTCTTATAATGTTATTAATATTTGATATATGTGACCCTGGAGCACAAAACCAGTCATAAGGGTCAATTTTTGTGAAATTGAGATTTATACATTATCTGAAAGCTGAATAAATAAGCTTTCCATTGATGTATGGTTTGTTAGGATCGGACAATATTTGGAAATCTGGAATCTGAGAGTGCAAAAAAATCTAAATATTGAGAAAATCATCTTTAAAGTTGTTCAAATGAAGTTCTTAGCAATGCATATTACTAATCAAAAATTAAGTTGTGATATATTTATGGTAGGAAATTTACTAAATATCTTCATGGAACATGATCTTTACTTAATATCCTAATGATTTTTGGCATAAAAGAAAAATGTATAATTTTGACCCATACAATGTATTGTTGGCTATTGCTACAAATATACCCCAGCAACTTAAGACTGCTTTTGTGCTGCAGGGTCACATTTATAACCTTCACGTCGTTCGAAACCTGACTTTCTTCCTTCCATAGGATTGTCTGAATTTTTGGGTATCTTCATGGAACATGATCTTTACTTAATATCCTAAAGATTTTTGGCATAAAAGAAAAATGTATAATTTTGATCCATACAATGTATTGTTGGCTATTGCTACAAATATCCCCCAGCGACTTAACACTGCTTTTGTGCTGCAGGCTCACATATGTTCTCATAATGTTAAGCGATTAACATTCTCTAAACGTCCTTATATTATTTGTACTTGATGAACATTCTCATAAAGTTGAGAGAAAAATGTCAAATTATGTTATATTTTGGTTAATATTTTGTGCTGGAAGAAACGTTTTTGCAACCTTTTAATAACGTTTGAATCATATCAAGAAAACTGGATTTTCAGTGTCTTAAAAACGTTGTTTTGAAATGTTTTTATGAACTAAATTTGTTCTCTGTTTCTGGTGGTGTCTGGTTGTGTGTGTTTGCACCTGCTGCTGTTTCCCGTGTGTGTGTCGCTCTCCGTTCTTCTTCAGTGTGTGTGTTTCTGCCGTCAGAGGCTCCTGAGAACATCATCATCACATCATCAGCTCATCAGATCAGATCCAGTCAGAGTGATCTATATGTGACGCTTCAGCTTCTCCAGGTGGGATTCTATTACTGCATGAATCATAAATGTGCATGTTTCCCTCCCACCGACTAGTCATTTCATACATTTTCTGTATGACTCAGTTGTGAGTTTATATTGATGAACTGATCTCAAAGTGATTTTGAAGATTTAATCGCCGCTGGGCGACTCTCTCACACACACACACACTCTCACACACGCACACACGTAACCATTTGAAATAATCTACACATTTATATAAAAATACAATCATATATGCATTTTGTATAACTGAATATACACAATTTTTAAACATATCTGAATATAATTAATAATAAAATATATAATTTTAAAAGAACACACAAACTGAGCAATAACACGCACCTCGTGCTCTGCCCTCGTCCTCATCCGTCTGACATCATGATGATACTGCTCTCTGATTCGCCGCAGCTGCATCAGATACTCCTGCAAACACACACCGATGTTATCTAGCGATCATGAACACACACACACAGACACAGACACACTCACAGACACACTCAGACACAGACACAGACACACTCACACTCACACTCACACTCACACTCACACACACAGACACAGACACAGACACACTCACAGACACACTCACAGACACAGACACACTCACACTCACAGACACAGACACACTCACACTCACACTCACACTCACAGACACACTCACAGACACAGACATAGACACACTCACACTCACAGACACACTCACAGGCACACTCACAGACACAGACATAGACACACTCACACTCACAGACACAGACATAGACACACTCACACTCACAGACACAGACATAGACACACTCACACTCACAGACACAGACATAGACACACTCACACTCACAGACACAGACATAGACACACTCACACTCACAGACACAGACATAGACACACTCACACTCACAGACACAGACATAGACACACTCACACTCACAGACACAGACATAGACACACTCACACTCACAGACACAGACATAGACACACTCACACTCACAGACACAGACATAGACACACTCACACTCACAGACACAGACATAGACACACTCACACTCACAGACACAGACATAGACACACTCACACTCACAGACACAGACATAGACACACTCACACTCACAGACACAGACATAGACACACTCACACTCACAGACACAGACATAGACACACTCACACTCACAGACACAGACATAGACACACTCACACTCACAGACACAGACATAGACACACTCACACTCACAGACACAGACATAGACACACTCACACTCACAGACACAGACATAGACACACTCACACTCACAGACACAGACATAGACACACTCACACTCACAGACACAGACATAGACACACTCACACTCACAGACACAGACATAGACACACTCACACTCACAGACACAGACATAGACACACTCACACTCACAGACACAGACATAGACACACTCACACTCACAGACACAGACATAGACACACTCACACTCACAGACACAGACATAGACACACTCACACTCACAGACACAGACATAGACACACTCACACTCACAGACACAGACATAGACACACTCACACTCACAGACACAGACATAGACACACTCACACTCACAGACACAGACATAGACACACTCACACTCACAGACACAGACATAGACACACTCACACTCACAGACACAGACATAGACACACTCACACTCACAGACACAGACATAGACACACTCACACTCACAGACACAGACATAGACACACTCACACTCACAGACACAGACATAGACACACTCACACTCACAGACACAGACATAGACACACTCACACTCACAGACACAGACATAGACACACTCACACTCACAGACACAGACATAGACACACTCACACTCACAGACACAGACATAGACACACTCACACTCACAGACACAGACATAGACACACTCACACTCACAGACACAGACATAGACACACTCACACTCACAGACACAGACATAGACACACTCACACTCACAGACACAGACATAGACACACTCACACTCACAGACACAGACATAGACACACTCACACTCACAGACACAGACATAGACACACTCACACTCACAGACACAGACATAGACACACTCACACTCACAGACACAGACATAGACACACTCACACTCACAGACACAGACATAGACACACTCACACTCACAGACACAGACATAGACACACTCACACTCACAGACACAGACATAGACACACTCACACTCACAGACACAGACATAGACACACTCACACTCACAGACACAGACATAGACACACTCACACTCACAGACACAGACATAGACACACTCACACTCACAGACACAGACATAGACACACTCACACTCACAGACACAGACATAGACACACTCACACTCACAGACACAGACATAGACACACTCACACTCACAGACACAGACATAGACACACTCACACTCACAGACACAGACATAGACACACTCACACTCACAGACACAGACATAGACACACTCACACTCACAGACACAGACATAGACACACTCACACTCACAGACACAGACATAGACACACTCACACTCACAGACACAGACATAGACACACTCACACTCACAGACACAGACATAGACACACTCACACTCACAGACACAGACATAGACACACTCACACTCACAGACACAGACATAGACACACTCACACTCACAGACACAGACATAGACACACTCACACTCACAGACACAGACATAGACACACTCACACTCACAGACACAGACATAGACACACTCACACTCACAGACACAGACATAGACACACTCACACTCACAGACACAGACATAGACACACTCACACTCACAGACACAGACATAGACACACTCACACTCACAGACACAGACATAGACACACTCACACTCACAGACACAGACATAGACACACTCACACTCACAGACACAGACATAGACACACTCACACTCACAGACACAGACATAGACACACTCACACTCACAGACACAGACATAGACACACTCACACTCACAGACACAGACATAGACACACTCACACTCACAGACACAGACATAGACACACTCACACTCACAGACACAGACATAGACACACTCACACTCACAGACACAGACATAGACACACTCACACTCACAGACACAGACATAGACACACTCACACTCACAGACACAGACATAGACACACTCACACTCACAGACACAGACATAGACACACTCACACTCACAGACACAGACATAGACACACTCACACTCACAGACACAGACATAGACACACTCACACTCACAGACACAGACATAGACACACTCACACTCACAGACACAGACATAGACACACTCACACTCACAGACACAGACATAGACACACTCACACTCACAGACACAGACATAGACACACTCACACTCACAGACACAGACATAGACACACTCACACTCACAGACACAGACATAGACACACTCACACTCACAGACACAGACATAGACACACTCACACTCACAGACACAGACATAGACACACTCACACTCACAGACACAGACATAGACACACTCACACTCACAGACACAGACATAGACACACTCACAC